TAATTTGGTTAGTTCTTTTTTTGAGGGGGGAGTATACTAAAAAAAAAAAGAGGCCCGCCATTAAAAATTGGTGGGGGTGGTGGAGAGCCTCTAAGGTTGATTCATTTTTATTCATATAAATTTTCTTCACAATTTTAAGTTAAATGTAGTTTGCTTATACAATTAGAAGAGTTCTAACTTTATGCAAATTGTAAATATAATTATAAGAATAAGACTGGGGTAGAGAGCCTACAATCAGAGTGACGCCATATGGGTATCACTTGTGATTGGTCCGCCATTCTCTCTAGTTTTTTAAACGCATTATTTTCTAAATTTTGAATTCATGCTAAAAAATGCTCAAAAATTGTGACATATTAAAAAATGATAATAAATAAATATTGTATATAAAATAATAAAATTTTTACATATATTATTTATTATAAAATTTCATTTAATTTGTATTATTGCAATATTGTACAAAACTTAGTGTACAAAACTTAGACTATACATATACTTAGTGCCAAGACACTTCAGATATTATAATTAATCTGTGTATATTTTATGTTATATTTTTATTTTAATATTTTAAATACATTATTTATAAAGAATAAATTACTTTACTTCACATACAGAATTTTTTGACGGTGTTCAATTTTTATATTTGCCATCTATATTCTTTAACTAATTCATTCGGCGTTCTGTGTCTTTCGGAATTATTTTCATAACATATCCTTTTTTTAATGAATTGTTACAAAACGGTATTGTACATCCAATCACATTTCTAAAATAATTTCGATAATTTTATTTTTATCTAGATAGTGCAAAAAATACTGCAACAATACTGCCTGAAGAATAAATATAGAAACTTCGACTTCAAAATGCTCATTAAATGAGTATCAAGGAAACAATGAAAGTTGATTCTTCGTCCTTGTCTAGCTTATAGTAATAATATGGAAAAGAACAAAAAAACGTGGATAATATCAATAGTGATTATATTTTCTTAAAGAAAATAAAGGCTAAATCTGAAAATTTAGAGCTTTGTTTCTATGTTTTTAAACCAGTTTGACTGTCAAGAATCTGTGCATTATAAAATTATGTTGCACAGTATCTCAATTAAATTAATGCGTTGTTTTCTGATAATTTGAAACTAATTCAAACAAATCCTTTATTGGAACAAACCCTTATCTTGATTTGAAATTATAAAAAGTTCCAAGTAATAAAAAATGAAAACAACCCAAGTTTGAAAACAAATAAGATAAATTTAATTTAAAAAATTAAGAAATATAATTAACAAAAACAAATTGTATTTATGCATGAAACTAAAATATTTTTTGTAAAAATTTATTCATTAATATAATATTATGTATATATACATATTGGAACGCCAATTAGAAAATTTCTCATAATTTCAAAATAAAGGGCATTATTGAAAAGTAAAGGACAAAATTAAATTTTCAAGAAACAATAGATCTGAAGGACAGTTATTTAAAATAAAGAATTATCCTTTACAATAAAGGACGTATGGTCACCATAATAATACAATATTTTACGAGATTTAATATATGAAAAAGGTCGGAATGTTTACTCTCGGGTTTTTCTCTGCTCCTACTACTTATTCAACGCTTACTCATTGGAATAAGTAGAAACTGGTAGAAGGATGTTGGAGCATATGATGCGAACAAACTTTAGGTATCCTACGTCTATTTTGTGAAACTGTTGATAAAATCGTAGTGCCGAATATGACCGTGCTAAAAAGAGTCAATCCTGTCAACTTTTATCAGTACAGTCCTAATATTGGCCACATATTTATTGCTTTTTTATGTCCAAAATAATTTGAATTTTTTTCAATTTTATTTACGCCACTTTAAAATGCTATTTTTATCTATAATATAATTTTTTATTTATTATGATACAATTTTTTTATTTATTTATAATTAACATATTATAAATCATTATAAGCAATTGAATAGATAATTATCAGCAATAGCTATTACCCTAGCAAAGTTTGTCATTTTGACGTCATATTTTGGGCCTTTACTGGCGATTACTGATGTCTTAATAAAGTCAAATTGACGTTCAAATGTCACAGACGATTGACGTCATCGGTGAGCCATCGTTTTGACGTTATACCTTGATCCTTTACTGATCATTATATTATACTCAACTAGTGACTTATCATGTCAATATGACGTTACGGAGTGATGTCACGAAATGACGTTATATATGAAATGCCGTCGAATAAAACCTATGTTCACTTTTGAGTCCCTTGACATCATTTTTACAAACATGATTTAAATTGATGTCAAAATGACGAGCTTTGCTATCTAGCAGTTTTTACGTGCTCTCTGTGTAATCATTTTGTTTAAATGCATAAAATTGAAAAATATGTTCATTAAAAATAATCAAGCTGTACTCAAGAAATCTTTTCCATTTTTTGATTATTTTCAATTGTTATTGTTGAAAGACGGGAAACGTAGATCAGTATCTTTAAGATTTTCTTCGATCCATTTCTCTATCTTTCCCTCTAATTCTGGAGTGAAAATGTCTTGCCAGTTCCCGTTTCCTCCTTTTCTAATAAAAGAATTGTCCTTAATAATTCCACAATCCTTCAACTCAGAGAAATTCACCATCGGATTGTTTCGAAAATTTTTGATATTGAGATGATTTGTCACTTTGTTAATTTCTTCGTCAGTGTATGTTTTATCCAAAAATTTTGCTACTTTCTTAATTGCTTTTGGAAAATCCTAGAAACAAAAATAATTTTCTTTAATATATATATATCATATAAAAAACAACTTTAAACAATAAAGATGTTAGTTGTATCTCTTTGGTGAATTAATTATTAATTATTTAATTAATTATTTGATTATTTAATTATATGATTTAAAAAATGTTTTATTTGAAAAATGTTAAAGATATTTTATACATATTTTCAAAATAATAATAAAATTATGAAAAAATTACAAATTATTCTAAATCACGTTTAATAATAATACGATAAATTTAGTAATGATTTATTATCTGAATCAGTTATTTTAATAAATAGTAGTTCTCTTTTATAATCTGTAATAAATCTCTAATAAAAATATAACGAAATGTATTATAAAATAAATAATAAAAATCTCAATTTTTAAATATAAGTACATTATGTATTCAAGATTATTTACGTAGAGTTATATTGAAAAATTGCAAAAGATATTATAAAAATTGCTATATTATTTGGTAGAAGACATTTTATAATTTGTATTTATGTTTTTACAATTATTTTTAATTTTTATTTAAAAAATATTGTCCAAAAGCAAACTAATATATCGGTATCGATGACTTTTCTCTGTTTAAATGAGAACAAAAATTTTGTCTATACTTACGTTTATTACCTCCTCATAAAATAAGAATAAAAGATTTTTTGAATTTCTTAAATTCCAGGCTTCCTTTAGATGTTCCCAATACGGGGATATGTGGTCTCAGTCTATCCAACAGACTGTCAATTTTAGGGTGCAACAGCATTGAACGATATAGATACGTAAAGATATATTGATAAAAATAAAATTATCGAAATTATTTTAGAAATATGGTTGGATATACAATATTTTGTAACAATTCATTAAAAAAAGGATATGTTATGAAAATAATTCCGAAAGAGATAGAACGCCTAAGGAATTGATTTCTTAAATTCCAGGCTTCCTTTAGATGTTCCCAATACGGGGATATGTGGTCTCAGTCTATCCAACAGACTGTCAATTTTAGGGTGCAACAGCATTGAACGATATAGATACGTAAAGATATATTGATAAAAATAAAATTATCGAAATTATTTTAGAAATATGGTTGGATATACAATATTTTGTAACAATTCATTAAAAAAAGGATATGTTATGAAAATAATTCCGAAAGAGATAGAACGCCTAAGGAATTGATTAAAGAGTATAAATGGCAAATATAAAAATTGGATACCGTCAAAAAATTCATCTGTATGTGAGGTAAAGTAGTAATTTATTCTTTATAAATAATGTATTTAAAATATTAAAATAAAAATGTAACATAAAATATACACAGATTAATTATAATATCTGAAGACACAGTAGTGTCTTGGCACTAAGTATATGTCATCACATTGGTTACGGATTAGTTTTTTTTCTTTTTGTCGTAATCTTTTCAATTATATATCTTTGCATTGTGAGTCTAAATCAAATAATATGATAATTACGATATTTAATATATAATAATATAATATATAATAAATATATAATATTTTATGAAATTTTATATTCATACATAATATTTTTCTGAATTTTTGATTTCTTTTATATTATTACAAATGCATTTTGCTCCTAAAATA